CAGTTTATTTCATGGAATGATTTTTTTTTTTTTTTTTTTGATAAAGTTATTGAAGACATTTATTTTACTTTTACTTTTAGTGTAAATTATACGATAAATTATATAATATTTTCTTAGTTAATGTAGTATTTAATTACTATAATAGTAATATAAATTTATTTTATACCCTATCATAAAAATTTATACAACTCAAAATTTAGTTTTAACTTCCTATAAATACAATAAAACAACAAAAATAAATGAAGAATATCAATGCGTATTGTAAAATTCATAATAATATAATGTAAGTAAAAGTTTTAAGTTTCCATGAATAATATTTTTAAATTATAACAAAATAATTGACATCGCCATTTATTTTATCGCTTAAATAAGTTATTTCGTCCAAACTCAAACTTTAAATGTCTACAAAAAATGCATTTCTATATTTTAATATTTTTGTACAGATATAATAACAACTTATGCGTAATATTTTCATTTTGTATTTGATTTTCAAGAATTTTTACCATGTAAATAATTTTTCATCGAAATTTATGTAAAAAAAAAAAATAAAAGTTGAAATTATCTCATGCTTATAAATAACTTAAAAAGAGTAAAAAAAAAAAAAAATATATGTATTTTATAAATAAAACAATAATATAAACATTTTGTGAAAATTTCAAATATCTACGGTTATTCGTTTTTAAATTACAATAAAAACAAAAATTGTTTAGAGTGAATATCCAATAAATTGTAAACATTTTAACTTCAAATGCTCATAATAAATTATTGGGCTTTCCGGTAAAAATTTTTTATATAAATTGAAAAAATTATAAAAAAACTTTATATTAAATTTACAAATCTTAGATATAAACAGAAAATGTTTATGTCTTTTTAAGAACAAAACAACTTGTATTTTTTGAGGTTTTCATGAATTTTATAAAAATTCTATAATTAAATGTTTATAAAAAAATAATGTACCCATGAATCTTTTCATTTGAAAATATACCATCTAATAATTAAAATCTTGTATTGAATATTCAAACATTTTTACCATTCATAAAATTTTTATTTATATTTACTAACGAATTGAAACAAAAAAAATTTAATTTAAAATTTAAATTGTCTATAAATTACTCAAAAAAGTTAAAATATTTTTAAATTCATACTAGATATTAGAGAATATGATAATATAAATTCTTAGTGAAAATTTCAAGTATGTATCTGGTGGTGATTCGTTTGAGAATCATAACAAAACAAAGAAATCAATTTTGTCAAAATCTGGTTTATCTTCAGTTTAACGTAAGAATTTTAATTTTTCCTTAATTTTTTTCCCCGATTTAAAAAAAAAAATCCTAATTGTTAATTTTAACTTCTCTAAAACACACATCAGTGTAAAATCAAAACATTCATCGCTTTGCTCAGAATCTAAAATTAATTTGACTAAAACATTATTATTTATAAATTAACCAAGGAACATGCTAATATTTTCAAAACTGAGAAAAACGCAACTTCTATATATATATTCGTATCTAGTGCTCATAAATATTTATATAAGTTCCTTACGCATATTTTTAAGATAATAAACCTAAATACAAATACAATCTGTTTATAATAATATATTCAGACATATTTTCTACAGACCATTTAAATTGAAATACATTCGTGAAAACCAAACTTAATTTATGGCAAGTAATAATTAAATCAAAATTTTCATTTTCAAAAGTTAAACTTTAAACACTTAAATAAAAGTAAAAATATGAAATATTTTATTACAGAGCTATGCCATTAATTTTCCTCATAAATATTGTGGTTTATTTAATAATATTGCATAATAATAATAAGTAGGTATAGTGTATGTAGAGTATTAATATACTATAAAGTAAACCACTGTTACTATCCAAAATAACCACTTTATTCGTATATACATATTTACTAAATTATTTATTACGCTTATATACGAGCATGTTGTATAATATAATTATTAGACTGATAATCAAATTATAACTGTAAATATGATCAAATCTTAAAATTAATTTTCAGCTCTGCCGTGTAGAAACAACCAATATAAATGTACGATACAGGTATCTAATAAGTACTAATAACTAATAAAATACACGACAGTTCAAAAGGAAAAATTACCACACAAATTACACTTTACGACGTAGTATTAATGTTAGTTTAATTAATGTCGTTTCGATATTATTTTAATAGTTGAAAACGTATTCAACACAAATTTTTATTACAAAAATAATAATACTCTATTGTTTATCAGCTAATAATGACATTACTCGGTATCTCAAATTCTGCGATTAAAATTCAAGAAACCTATTTTTAAGTGTCGCCAATAATCTTCAGTCGACTGTATGTCTTTTAATTGGATAGATATTAGGATAATATTAAATACCACACTCTGCTACTTCATCGTCATTATATTCTATGATTTAATTATCATATAAATCAGTTTATTTGTAAAAATGTTTTATGGGTAGTTATTATTTTATTATTAAATACATAATAGAGGCGAAAACAATCATACGTATATATTTAGAGGTATTACGAATTCAAAAAGTGTAGATCTTGTTTTATTTTAACTGAATTAATGTAGTATTGTTCTATAATATCTATAATAATATCCATCATTATTCTACAAAAACAATTTAAATATATGTTGTACGTATTTATATTTTGCACGTTGTCTTTCAATATGTATATTGTTGCTTGTATCACTTAAATATTATGAGTGCTTTGTTTACTAAAATATTATTTCTGTTCAAAATACAATATTACATATTAAAAATGTAATAAATTAACGTTATTACACGGATCAGCAAAATAATGGATTTTTAAATAAACCAAGTTCATAAACATATTGCATCTATGCACCAGACACCTATCAATATTTATAATTTTTCATTGATCCTAATTTCAGAAAAAAATTCTTATTTTTCTTAACATAATATGTAAAACATTTTTAATAATTTGGTTGGTCATGAGTTCGTGATAATTTTTAATCAGTACAACGCAGTACAAGCATAACATTTTCTTCGTTTTTATTTGGTAAAAATGTATTTGGTATTAAATTCAAACAGTTATTTTTAATTGCCATTTAACATCGATGAATAAAAGAATAATTATCATCGACTGAAATTCATAAAAAGAAACAAAAATATCATAATAATGAACATTAAACATTAAAGAACAGAATACGAAGTTTTCTATCCCCATCTAAATGTTTACATTATTTTTTCAACCAAAAAGTATTGATGAGCTATTGGTAGTTAGGAATTAAATTTAAAAACAGAAAGATTGGTTTTCAAATTATACGAAACACTACATAAAATTGTTGTATTTTACAAAAATTATTCGAAAAATAAAAATGACATTTTTATTCCTTGTGAATTCTTAATTTTGAACGTTCATCATATTGGTGAAGTTTTTATAGTAGAATAAAAAAAATTCAAACGCACGTGTCATTGAATACTGAAATACACCAAAACTATTTAAGTGGCTACAAAACTTACCGATCCCATAACTTCACTACAAAATAATGTCCTTAGACTTTAATGAAATACCATATAAGATATGAGGAGCTACTAATCTTATATAATTTTGATTACACCTTATAAACTATGGCAAATTTTCGAACTTTTTTTATCGGTTGAGGTTCTAAAATATTTAATTAACCTAACTCACTAGTTTTATATTAACTCTTATATTAATTACAGCTATGTATTATAAACTCTATAATATGACTTTAAATCGTTCAAATTTTCGTTAGATACAATTTAAAGTTTTTTTTTTTTTTGTACTAGTGATGAAATATTTTATCTCTATACTCAAAATTGTCAAGTTTAATTGTTGAAGATATTGAAGTTAAAACTATAAACTCAGAGCTTGTGTATTATTTTTATATTGTGTAGCGAATTGGACACTTCAGAAGCCATCCGATACTGTTGTTGTAGATTATTCTTGCGATTAGGTAAGCAAACACGCGAGTATTAAAGTAATAAAGAACATAATTTATTCTATATAACCCGTAATCCAATTTATAAAACAATAGTTATCGAGATAAAATTTAAAACTGTAAAAGAAAAAAATTGTATACATTTAAAAAAGTTAATAATTCACCTTTTCAATATTGAATCTAACTAATATAACAGATAGTGCCTCGAGTACAATTAGTACCTATATAATTATAGTAAAGTTAAATGTAATCGTCAAATTTAGAATTTGGTACTTAATTTAAATAACAACTAATTCGTTTATTACATTTTGAACTATTTTCGAATAATATGGAATAGTTTAATGAAGTCAATTAGAGTGAGCGAGTATCCTTGTACTGAAAGTTCAAGTCTTACGCTAAGTAATACCCAAATTTATTCAACTAAATAGTTAGGTTATCCAATTATGTATTTTATTATTCGAAGGAATATATACATACTAGATTTATATGTATGAAGAGTCTTATCGTATAAACGATTAAAATAAATGGTTATTATATCTTAGTTATTGTATTTAAGCTGCCTATTGAAATTTTTTTATTGAAAATCATAGTTATTGAGTAGTCATAATTAAATAAATATTTAATATTAATGTTTCTTAAACAAATAACAGTGACAGAATTAAACATTGTATATTATGTGTTTTACTGTAATGTTTTCATAAAATCACTCGATAATTATTTACAAAAAAAAAAAAAAAAATAACAAATACATATAATAAGTTTTAATAAGTTTTGTAAAAATATATAGCTAAGTATAAACAACTAACTTATATTAATTGGTTCTATCGAATAAAGCATAAATAGTAAATTAATTAATATCACTTTAAAATTGTTCTATCTTTCTATTTTGGAATCGATGAAAAATGGACATAACATAATATATTATTATATCGTATTGTGTTATAAATTAATAATACAAACTTTTTAATTTCAGTTAACATAACAATGATCGATTTTTATTAAACGTATTTTATTTTGAGACTTTTAAACTCAAGATACAACAAAATATCAGCAAAGAACTAGGACTTTTTTTTTAAATTTAATTAATTTTATTTCATTATTACTACAATCACATTTATCATCATATAAAGTGACATTACTTTCATACTTGAAGCTATTATTATTTTTATAGACATAATTTGTTTTTTCTAATCCCATTTTAATTAATAACATTCTTATTCGCATACGCCCTTGTACATTTCTGAACGTCAAAATTTAATGTTATGGTTACAGCCTGCAACGATATTATTTTAAATTGCTGTAAAAATATGAAAAAAAAATAAAAATTAATAGAACTGAAATGTCTTATTTATGCATTTGTTTTATTAAAAAATATAAAATGATTATGATATAGAATTCGTTATGCGAGAGTTATATTATTTCACATAGTACACTTTATCACACAAAATAAATACTTAAATGTATGTAGGTATGAAAGTATTTTTAATTAAATTAATATATTAATTCCAATAAAATATTGAAAAACCATTGCATATTTTATGAGATTAATATTTTATATTTGCACTGATTTTTTTCTTTTTATAAAAACTTGAAAAATAAATTATATGATTTTATTACAATTTATATGCATGTTTATTTTTTAATTATTTTAATATTTTAAAATATTAACAAATTATCTAAAAAATAAAAATTTGATATTAATTTTTAATTTCAGTTAATTAATATTATTTGTTTTAAAAAAAATTCTCACTCAGTTTCCCTTAACCTCCAACACCGCTTTGATGTCACGGTTGCTTGGTACAAAAATTGACATTTCAAAGTCAATCAATCTAAATCACCATACACTACACTACATTCACTCTTCGCGTGTCTCCCAATGGAATTTCTAAATAATATTCAAATGTCTACATCTCAGTCGACCAAATACTTAGGTCTAATTATTGACTATCGTTTCACTTGATCACACCACATCAAAATCAAAAAGTTTGCTTTAAATGCACGTCTCCGCTTACTTTAAACACTAATCATCAACAACATGCACACTACATTAAATACAAAACTGCTAATATATAAATCCCTTTTTAAGTTAATGTAAACTTATGATCTTAAACTCTGAGATAATGATAATAAATCAAACATTAACAAACCTTCCAAAATAATATCCTTCGTAAAATCACCAATTTACACCACATATCTTAAACCTAACATTACAACATCTCAATCTAAAAATCAAAACCATCCATGGAATAGCAGTAACCTTTTATGAAAGACTCCACTCCATACTGCCGTCTTCATATCTAACCTTGACTTCCTGGAAATCCCCCAAAAAGGCTCAAAAGAAATTGATGTCATTAACTACCTAAGTTTTAATGAAAGAAAATTTAAATTAAAAAAAATAATGACAATAATAACAAGTTTAGATAGTGTAACAACTGGGTGACTTTTTCTATCATGCGACTCATATAAAAAAATAAAACAAATCCTGTTATCACATACTATTATTGTTCCTTAGGAAACAGATTGTATATAACTTAAAATAAATAAAAATAAAAATGAATTATTTGTATAAAGAAAGATAATTTTTATAAAGGATAAATAAACAAGCAATGAGCATCTTTATTATTCAAAATTATCAAAAGCATTTGGGCTGACGAGTATAATTAAAATCAAGAAAATGACACGTTCTATCATTAATTAAAATTTGAATAAAACAGAATTCTTGAATTGAATTGTATGTTTAAAAATAGTTAAAATTTAATTCTCATAATCTTAAAATACGTTTTTAGCACTTACTATATTATTATCAATTACCTCAATCGTTTTAAATAAAGAAAGTTAATCGATTTATTCGATCGTGGATAATCTAACTAAGCTCTATGTAGAAATTGTTAAATAACCAAAAACATAAAGTTTTATATTATATTTAATGATAAAAAAAAAAAATAATAATAATAACTAAAATTATCTTATTTAGCTTACATCACTAAATATTATAATGATTATATTAGTGAATGAAACAATTAATAATCGTACATTATCGTTAAATAAAATACAAATTCCACCAAAGATTATTATAAAAGTTTTTTTGTATTCGTAGATATTTAAGAGTAATTAAATATGACAAATTAGTTAATCTTATTTTCGAGTTATGTAAATATGTCGTTTAAATAAATATTAAAAGCTTTTTTTTTCAATGCAATGTTTTCAGATGTATAACAAAGTATTATAATTCACTTGTACCTCATATAATATCTCTGATATTATCCAAATCAGTAGCACATCTCAACAGATGTTTTCTTTTATCCAAGGACCATCCAATATTAGGAAATGTTTATTGTTTAGGTAACCGCGTTTTTCATTTAATAATTACTCTGTAAAAATCTTACTTGTTAAATCGTCGAGTAATATTTTATCATGAACAATTTTCGATCTACTCTTTTGTTATATTATTATGTAGTGTATCCTCATAAAACCAGTTGTTATTGTTTTCATTATTTTTATTAAATTATCATTATACAGTTAATTGAAAATTATGTGCAAATCCATAAAATAAATTAAATGTTAACCTATCATAAAACAAGAATACAAATATTTTACAGTTGTCTAGATAATATTAATAATTTTTTTTTTTTTTTTAAGCACCTAGATCTATATAGGACACAATATACATGAATGACAAATATTCACGAGTTGATCGATGGCTTGTAATAATTATCGTAAGTCGAATACGATTTTCCTTCTAATGTATTGTTATAACTATTATAACAGTTGTATCTGTAGTCATCATCGTCAGGCGATGAACATTCTTTCACGGTGTTGTGTGCGCTATACGGCCAAGTCTGAAATAAAATTTAAAAAAAATTAAAATAAATATATATACATAGGTATATTAAATACTATAAAAAATAAAAAAGACAACAATCAAAATTCATAGTCATTGCAACCGGTGTGATTAACTAATAACATATGCCAATATGAATATCGGTACAATAATTATTCATTTGTATTAACGAGAATTATCAAATTCCTAACTAAAGAATACTAAAGAATTTTTTTTTAACATTTATTATTATTTTTGTTATGTTTAGGTTAGATACCTAGGTTATTGTTTAATCAGTTTTATTGTCACACGGTGGAAACTCACTACATAATTTAGTCTTGTGAATGTATGGCAAGTAAACACACAATCGTCACACATTTATGTATTATATATAAAAGTAATACAAAATAGTATTAGTATACGTCTTACACGGTAAAATTTGGTTATAAAATAGCATCTGGAAAAACGTCGTACTTCTGAAATTAAAGGTCATGCGTTAAAACTAACACAAAATTGTGTATACAATAACAAATATTGTTTCTCTTGTATACATTTTAATTTAAGTACAGTAATATTGCCAAAATATTCTTAGCCACCGTGGCTGGTTGCTGTATAATTAAGAAAACTGCTTATGCCTAAAGGGTTCGAAATATAAATCATAATTCTCTGAAAAGTAGAAAATATAAAAGTACTTCACAAATATTAGAAAATATATCATCACTAATACTCGCACATTACTATTTCTAATTCAATCAATCGTTCGAAAGAAAACTTATTATCTAACCTCTACACAATAGGTAGCTAAACCTTTGAATTGAAATCAAATTTTTAAAAATTTAAATTTTTTTCTATTTTTAAAAAGCATATAATAAATAATTCTTATTTCAAAGTAACGCAATTTTTATTTTAATTCATATTTTTCCTCTTATAGGTATTAGGAAAATAACATTTTAGTTGATGGATGTGAGCTGATTTGTATTAGTCCCATACTTTATGTTGGTATTCGACACAAATTAAACGGTGAATAGGTATTTTATTTGCAAAAAAAAATCTTACAGCTCACATATACCTCTTTGTGTACCTATACAGTAGGTATACAGGTATTAGACAAACTCACACTCCATTCATACGACGAATGGACTAGACAACCATGACAACCTCGAACTGTACACTACACACCGAAGACTGACTGAGGCTGATTCGATCTGGATTCTAAAATTAAAAGTTTTCTATTAATTGAATCCCGAATTATTTTATTTAAGTTATGGATTACTTTAGGTAATGCACTAATTAGGTCCTAGATTATTTTAGATGCAACACTAGTTAGATCCTGGTAATACTAATACACAGCACCCATTGGGAGGATAAAAACGAGCTACGTATTTCCCTCCTTGGAAAAATAATAATAAATTATAATTTATTAAACATTACCGTGATAATTTATCTAATAACTTAGACATCATGAAATAAAATATTGTTTTACTATGTGAAATGTGTCAAATGAAGAAATGTGCAGATTTTATTTAGACTTAAATTTGGTAACTATATATTCAATTAATACATTTCACCAGATTTTATTTTTTTACTTATTAAAATGTATTTTAATTATTTATAACACACTAATACAAATATTAATTAAATAAATAATAGTATATATTAGAACATATTTATATTTATATGTTAAAATAATATTACATATTAATTTAGCTTAAATTTACTAAAATAACTAAAATAAAATTATATACGTATACAAAATATGATAAATATGTAACGAGTTATTTACATATTATCAGTTATAACGAAATAGCGTAACTAATATACTCTAAATATTTTAATAAAATACTTGATTTTTTTATTTTCCACATACCATTATAAGTATTATGAATGTTTAATATTTTGTTAAAAGTCTGAAAAATATCATTCAATAATAATTATTAAATTTGGCAACGTAGGAAAAAATCGTTCGTTTTCAATCGTATAAATGCTAATACCAAAAATTATGATACAGTATATACTTATTATACCTGCTAGAGACTTACCTACCTAATTTTACCTACCTGGATCAATACAATAATATATGGGTATATATTGTTATGCGCAACAATGGCATATCAACTGTCACTAAATTGGCAATGGGTGGTCGGGTGACTTGAACGTCCCATTTAGAAATTTGCCTTTTATAAAAATAATCCCTATTATATCAATAATTTTCAGTGGGGCATTTGGTCAGTAGTTTCCAGCTAAAGAGCTGCTGTCCCTCAGTCCTAGACAACTCGTGTTCGTTAGCGGTTGCACTTCATATCGACGTGTTTGGTCTGCGTATATTCATAACTCAATAACTGTTTCAGACTGATATCATGGACCAACCGACAAAGGCTGTATTCGATGGGGTGTGGGCAGCCTTGGTCGCCAACAATAAACGTGAAAAATACTCTTGTATGGACGAGATGGACTATAATTGGCTGGTCAGAGAAATTCAACTAATCAAATACAAAACTGCACAAGGAATAAGAAAAACGCCCAAGGATTACCGGTTACTTCGGAAGTATGACGTTATGGTCGCGGGAGGTTGCGAATGGCTGGTGAAACCGACGCTTAAGGAAACTGACACCCCCAACCTACTGTACGTGATCACCGATAATCTATTTGACGTGATACACAGGGCACACATGAACACCAACCACGGAAACTTAGATGAAATGCTCTTTCAAATTCAGGCCAGTTACTGCAACGTAACCAAACAAGCGGTAACGACGTATCTAAAACTGTGCCAACCCTGTATACGCCGGGATACGATAATTGCGGAATCCCAGAATTATCCGTCTCTCCCGTTTAAGAAATATTCTTCCACCATTTCGGTTTTCTTCGGATTCGTCAACATGCAGCAATATCCCTGCGACGGTTATAATTACATTCTGGTCCACTGGTATCAACCAATCAATTTCTACCACCTGATACCGCTCCAGAACACGGAACCTAAGAACGTAGCCATCAGCTTGTTGGACATTTACTCGACATTTGGATTACCAAATTTTATCGATTCACCGTTCGATGCGCCGTATGTCAGTTCAATTATTGACCACATAAAATCAGTGTGGTTAGATGATGTGTCCACCACGTTAAAAAATCCGATTGATGAGAACGCTATTACCCTCGGTAATAGTGAGTTGCGAAAATTAATGGAGCCGTTGGTGAACAACGAAAGTTTCCAGATCAACTGGCCGCCGAAACTCAAGTATCTACAGTTCTGGAAAAACAACCGGATAGAACCAGGTAAGGTTATTAGCTGCATACTTGTACCCACATTGCCAATAAGAAGGGGAAGGGGTCTTATGTCTAAAACTAAATCGACATTGTTAGGTATAGAGGTTATTGAATTCTGAGCGGAACGATAAAGATATCGGTTTAATAATGATATATGTGTGTATTTATAAATTCTAAGCGAAACAATGGTTGTATTTTTATTTTGTGTTTATGTGTGTAGTTTTTTTTTTCTGTCATAGAACAGTAAAATTTCTTTTATCTTTGAAGGTGGCTTCTTTTAGCGAATTGAATATACGTACTATATAACTAGTATTTTAAGAGATAAAAATTAATACATCATCAATACATTCCAAAATAATTTGGAGAAGCCCAGAACATTTTACACGAATCTAGTTTTTGACAAAATCTATATTATTATTTTTTTTTTGTGTGTAATTTAAAAATTATATATTATTGAAACTAGATTTTTTCATAAAATATTCATAATAGCATTTTCTAGATGATAACATTTTCAAAGAATTTTCACTATTTTTGGCTATTTAAAGGTATCCGACATTTATGTCTTTTTTTACCTATTTTAATTTATATCATATGAAAATATTTTTTTATGAATAAAAATACTTGAAAATTAAATACAAAGTTCATCATAAGTTTGATTTACCTATATAAAAATATAAATAAAATCCATCCAAATCGTAAAAATAATTCACAAACTACTAGATTAGTATACTTTGGTCCACGAAAGAATGCATCCGTTTCACAAACAGACTGACAGCAAGGGTCGATGTTTACCGACGCTAACGTTATAGGTTTGTATAATTGGTGGGGAATGAGTGAATTTGGACAAAGTTTTCATTTAATTAGATATTTATAAGAAAAATAATGAATTTTTACTTGAACTATTCCGTTATTTTGTTTTAATTCAAAATATATTTTATAGACGTTTAAAATTAGATATTTAAACAAACAATTACATTCTTCTCTTAAATGGTTTTAGTTATTTTGTTGTAATTTAAAAAATATTTATCGAGTCTTAAAACTGTTCACCATTACATATATTATTATTTGCTACGTACAATGAAATTTAAAAATTATTTTACCAATGTACCTACCTATTCACATTATTAATTGGCTTAAAAGTTCATAACACGAATGCATAATATAAATATTATGTTATTAATTATTATATATTGTATAACAAATAATAAAATAGTATAACATTTTTTTGCTTTTTCGATTCCTCCCATTGTTCGTCATTCGTCAAGCATGGACCATAATGAGATATTCTTAGAAATATAGTCTGCAATGCTGTATTCGTTCAGAATTTTTTATTTTTAAGTGTAACCATTTGTCATTGAAATGAAATTGAACATATCCATTACTGTTCAATGGCGTGATACGCTCGAAATCTGCTGTACATCGGAATTACTTCCCCGAATTTTTAACTTCATTGAATATTGACAAACATTTTTAAGTATGCTTAAAATTTACTCTCACTTAAATTCCCCTATTCAGAAACTAAAATGGCATCGTCGCACCAATAATTATTTATACAAATTTAGTAATTTTTTTCAAACTATTCATTTTTTTATTTAGGCTCAGACGCAACTCCGTACCAGAAAATGTTAAATATTAAAGGTCGCAAGAAGAATTTCCGATGGTAATGACGGCGGCAGTCAAAAAGTGAACGAGGACCACTTAACCAATTACACAGATGTCGATTATTTTCCGAAGTAATTTTTTCTAAATTAATAA